CCCCAAAACCCCAAAACCCCAAAACCCCAAAACCCCAAAACCCCTTGGAAAACGAGATCGGTTGAAGTCTATTAACAATAATAACATTTTGACAAGCAGGTTACATTTGCTTGCCCATCAGAGTAGCACAAATGTCAGACAATAGCTTAGTCTGAGACATGCCACTCTCGATTTTATGGTCCACTCCAAGTCCTATCGAGCTCAATTGAGCAAGCTGAGGAGTTGGTGTAGCAAGACTCTTGTTCATCTGAACTGAAGGTGATGAACATTTTGAAGGTTTAAAAGCAGAGTTACTCACAACTCCAACTTTTTGTTCTGATTCATTTTTGATAAAAATTTCCATCTGATTATTTACCATAGGACTCACATTTGACTGCAAAAATGGTAGAGAAGCTTCAGTTTTAACTGTTTGGATCGGAGCTACAGTAGAGTGGAAACTTTGGGGTGGAATACTAGTTCTAGACTGTCTCACAATTCCAAAAAGGATCTTCTGTTGCTTCTCCATGAAATCCAGTCTTTTCTTAAGATCCTCATTCTCTTCCTTAGTCTCCTTCAGTTGTTTTTGGAGATTATCGTACTAAGATTGATAAAGAAGGAATCCTTACCTTTTCAGTCATCTCGAGGTTATCTTTCTCAAGTGTTTCCTTCTTTTCCATGAGTTCTTTAAACTGTTGTTTCTTCTTCTGTCTGCACTTCATTGCACTAATCCTGTTCTGATTCAGGCGATGATTTTTCCTAGCTTCTAGATGCAAAGATCAGATCTGTCCAAATCCCGTAGATAAATAGAGGACGAGACTCACCTTCATCGGTAAATGTGTTGCTCCTTCCGCTCTTACAAGACTTTTTGTCATTGTCAGAGTCATCAGTGTTGTTCGCAGAGTTGACAATTAGTCTAGAAAGAATGATAAGCCAGAGTTCCAACTTTGACGTGGCCGCTTACTTCATATTGTTTTGTAATTAAATAATTTATATAGAAACTACGTCATCAGAGTCTTATACCACCAACTTCACGGGGTTTTGGGGTTTTGGGGTTTTGGGGTTTTGGGGTTTTGGGG